AGAGAAGGAAAGAGAAGTGAATCTCAAATTAAGAGCTATAAAAGTAGCTGAAAGCAGAACACTAAAACTTTTTTTTCCAGCAAGTTGTAAAAAAATCTACACATCTGTATATCAATCCCCTTCAGTTATTTATACTATGTTTTGAAATAAGATTTGGTTCACCTGCGTAGCAAAACACTGCTTATTGTACTAAGAGTACTGTAACATCTTTCATTATTCAGGTATAATTGATGAAGTAATGAATTAGATAGGATTTTTGTTCATAAGAATCCTTCAGTAGACTTGTTGTTTTATTAAAAAAAGAACAAAATTTGAAAGAATTTTATTATTTTTAGTTTGCAAATGCAGAATACTTACTCCGAAACTGTCAGAATTCCCTCAATTAGTCTTGTTATAAGCCTTGGATATTCTCATAGAAGTTGCCACAAGACTCTGGACAGCCAATGTAGGAGCAGCTGACAGAAGACACTATAAGACAACCTGATCTGCAGGAGGTTTTTTCATAGCTTTTTCTCTCAGATACAAGATTTAGAAAAGCAATTGTAAATGTTCTTAAACTCCTTGTTTTCAAGAGAAGTTGAGTTTATGTCGAGTTCTTTTCTGAACTCTTGTTTGAAATAAGTAACATTGAGTACTGTTAAACATTTTGATTTACAGTTAAGAAGCCCTATGCAAACAATATTTACTGTAATAAATAAATATTACATAACGGTATATAGGAATGAGCTGATTTGGAATTAAAGCAGAAGACTTTCTAAATTAACCGTTTCTTGTAACTTTTGTCTACTGTCACACCCTGTGATTAATTTGGAAATATATCTAAAACATTGATACAGTATTAGTTCAAGGGTAAAAAACCACAAATACTATGGGCAGTAGTGGAATTTATATTCTTAAAAAGATGCTGTGAAAAGCATGATACCTAAAAGATCTACAAATGTGACTTGAGGATTGAAGTAAATATCTTAGAGCAATGCACAAGTGAACCTGTTTAATCAAAAAGACTGATGGTGACTTGATTACTGTGCTTTGTGGGAAGAAAATACTGGTTAATAGAGGCCCTTCATTTTAATGGAGGAAGGCAGAAAAAGCAATTTTCAATTTTTTTTTATTTTATTCAATAGAGTGAGACCAATTAACTGTTAGCTAGAAAGCTGTGGAGCCTCTGTGACATCTTTGAAATGTGAATAGCTTTTTTTTGTTAGGTTTGGTTTCTTCTAAGCACAAAGTGCTGAGCTCAACATGGGGTAAGACTTCTCTAACAAATACAGAAGATTAGGTTAAATGGTCTAATGATTCCTCTGTTTGAAGCCTACAAAAACATTATTAATATTAGAGTTTCACAACTGGTGCTACCTATCAGTGAAAAAAGTTTGCTGCTTACCTTAGCTGCTTTAAACATATTGCTCCCTTGGTGTGCTTCTGTGAAATATCACATTCCCAACCACTTGCCAAGAATGTAAGTAGTCAACATATGATTCATAACAGCATCTCCTTAAAAACAAACACAGGCTTAAGCACCATTCAGTTTTCCTGAAATGGCTGCCTTTAAGTGAATAAAGATGCTACAGACATGTAAGAGACTACCTGAATTTTCTTCTCCCCTTTTGTTCAGAAGCTATTGGGAACATCATTAATTTCATCCTGACATAAACCTTAATGGAACTAGCAGTTTAAACAACAATAATAATGGAAAAACCCAAACATATTTTAGAGCTGACAAGAAATTATTTTATTTTATGATTTTAATTAACTTAAATTTTTAACCATTTCTCAAAACCAGTTAATGTTGAAATACATATTTTAGTGACCGAATATTTCAGTCTTCCATACAGTAATTTACCACAAAGGAATGTCAGCCATGGCACATCCATTCCTCTTGATGATCTTGTTATATTAATTCAGATAGAGTCATATTTGGCTTCCTTAATTTATTGAGAGGACACAGCAAAATCACAGTGATGCGTAACTGAAAAATTATAATCCTAAAATAGAGTCATATTATTTTCATGAGACAACAATGAAAATCTGATAAACAATGAAATTAATTTTTGACTCAGATTTTTTTTGGTTGAATTTCCACATCATTAATACCCCTTAGTTCTGGGCTAGAAAAGGATGACACAGGAACCTTCTCTTACCCAGTACATAAACAATATGCTTACATTTTTAGGAAATACAGTGGAAGATTATCTGTTGCCATACAAAATATATCATATAGATAGTATCAGGATTAAAACAATGCATACACCAAATCTCCACTTTATGGAGTTGATCCTTTGGGAATACCTGGGACAATTCTAAACATAATAGATTTATTTTATATATATAAAATATTCATACATACAGTCATGCATGCACCCTTTTTTTCCTTCGGTGTCAAAGGTTCTCATTAGAGCTTTCCTTTATGCCTTCAAAAAAGATCTAAATTTGGGATATACAACTAAACTTAGGTGACCAAACTAGGTAATCCATAATGAGATTGCTTAAAATGCTCTTTTAATATTTAATGAGCACTGCCTGAAATCACAATCACATTCTGCAATAGATTTTGTGTATGCTTAAATGACATACACGACTAAAGTGAACCACATCCCCTCACCCCTGAAAGATTAGCACAGATCCCCAGTTGTGCAATCCTTATTTAGACAAAACAAATGAGGGTCTAAACTGCAGCAAGAAAGATGTACCATTAAAGGGTTGTAAAACACTAGAGCAAGTAAAAAAGGGAATGTAACAAAAACCTCCCTATAACGAGGTTTTCAAAAAATAATTAGACAAATACCTGGTAAGAACAACATCTATAGTATAGCATCAAACCTACCTTGCAAAAGGAACCACAGATTAAAAACCTTCACTTCAAATTTGTTTTTTCTTGATTCTATGACAGAGTGCAAAGCCAAGTAACAAAGCAATCCAAAAGTAAGTCTCCCAGAATTCCAGATACTTTGTTAACTGTTTAAAAAGTGGCTAAAACCCAAAACTTACTCTTCCAGAACAGTGAAACTGGGAGCAGCTAAGAACATTCTCCATCCAACAGTTAATGCTATCACTAAGCAACATCAGAACTCTACTTACTGCTATCATGGTTGAGTACATTTGTTTTGAAATACTAATGGAAAATATTAAATCTAAAAAATGAGCAAATGAAGCCATTTTTCAATACTTTATCCACTGTAAAACCAGGCAGGTATTTATATGACTCTAAAAAAACCCAATATAACTCAATCCTAAATTCTGTTCTGCTTAAATGTTTTGCAATGTGTCTAACGTCTAATTGTGTATAATACTGTATCACTGCAACATCTAATATGCACCACACATAATCTGATTTATTCACAGACTTTAAACAGCAGCTGAGTAAATTTGCCACAAAAGTTCCATGCTAATGCCATAAGGATACATCTCGGTTGCAGCAGTGTTCAGTATGTATGCTAGTGTTATATATAAAAGCAACTTAAGTCCCTGCATAAAACTGAATTTACCTACAAAGTATTATGAGACTTCATTTAGTCTTATCAGCAAAATACAGAAGAGGAAGAAGCATTCCTCTAATATATTAAAGGAAAGCACATGAAATAATAAACAGAAATTATATGGCATGGAAGGAAAGAAAAGATCCTTCAAGATCACAATAAGCAGCTTGAATCTGACATGCTGGGAAAGAGAAACCCAGTGAAGGGTCCAAAGACAGTTCTGCAACTAAACAAAATTAAAGGTAACCTAGAAACAGCTTCTGGATTCCAAACATGAATCCTATGTAACTGAGAAGAGCGCAACCTAGAAGCTCTAAATTAGAACATCTTTCCATTCATAATCCAAAAACTATCTAGATCTACTCTTATCTTACTCTGCTAAAGTTACTTCTTTGTTACTCAAAAATGGTCTTTAAACCACTGCACACCAAGGAAGAACATTATTGATATGCCCTCAGTCACCTTGTATTTTGCTTCAATCCCTTGAGCTACTTTGGTAGCTTTACTTGTATTCAGATTCTGACTGGAGCTCAGAACAGACTGTAGACCAAATTTCCAAGCTCAAAATTCACTCCTGTGGGTATTGTGTGCAAAGAGAAGCAAAATTTGCCTTTCTATATCTGCAAGTTATATCTCAGGTTTTCCTTGCATTTAAGGCAATCTCCAGGCTGGAACTGACACTGTAGTTTAATAACTGCTGCTTATCAGGTGTTTTACTTCAGCTGCCTTACCTGGGTATTTTCTTTGCTATAGAACATCCCTAGCAGCCAACGACAGTGATACACAATTCTGGACAAACATACATGCACAGGAACACAATAAGTAAAAAAAACTAAGTTAATTTGTCTTGTCTAAGCTTGGGACTTCTTTCTAAAGACAGACAGAATCAACTGACAGAAAACCATGTATTTAACTGAGGTCAACTGAGAATCCACTTTACAGATTCTGTGTTTCCTCTCTTGTATCCTTTGACAACATCAAGTATTGTTTCTGGAGTTATATGGTCACAGGTTCTCATCAGAAAGCCTTTCAACATTAAAGGATTGGTATGTCCCCCCTACAAACTCCAATGATGAATACCTGTTCTGAGAGTGTCAAATTTGAAAGGTTCTTAAGCCTTTACCCAATTCCTCAGCACATCAAGGGTAGATGTAATAAAACAGTTTTATCTAACATTTATCTTTAAAAATAATATGACTGAGCAGGCATAATTTGAGTATACATGTCACTGGAGTGGGAGGAGCTAAAGACTTTGTCCTAAGTTAGGTTCTAGGTAACTTCAGTAAGATCTGTGGCACTGCTTGGCTATCACCAAATGCTGAATCTAGTCTAGAAACCCAAATGATGGAAATGAACCCATAGGGATGTACATCCTCATTTTGCTTATGTTGCAAAACAGTGACACCCACTGGCAGCAATCGTTTAAATACTTCATTGTTGCAGTCTGAATCTATTTGATAAGACCTGCTAAGAAGTTTCCCTCCTCCTGAAAAATTAATCACAGTAACCACCATGAGAACTTACCTGTTGAGTCAGCACTACTGCCAGAGTTTTCAGAAACTGCATTACTAAGAGCATCTGGAGTAACTGCAACATAACCCTCTGGAGGAAGATCCACTGTGTAAACTCTTCTTGGAGACACAACTGTATCATCATTATCTACAAAAAAGAAAATCCAAAGTATGTGGCTCAATATTGGTCTCACTACAGATTTTCTCAAAAGTTTTCCCAACTACAGCAACAGGTGATCTTGAAAATCCTTACAGAGGGTCAGCTGAGGAACTGAAATTACCCTATGACCAACGGAACAAATCTTACAGCATCTACAAATAAACAAATACTCCATGGGTTAGTTCTTTACACCAGAAGCATTTTTTTTTCTGTTGTATCACACAAATCTTCTCCCCTATCTTCAAAAGAAGCTTCCACTTACAGTGATCTTTTAAGAGACTCTAAACATGTTTTTCCCCATTCAGCAAGAGCAGACTATTTCTTTAAGAGCTGCTTCACAAAAGATGATGGCTGCATGGATGGATGGAAACAAGCTTATTAAGAAATGACAGAAGCAACAGGAAAATAATCACAAAACTGTGGTTTGTCCATTTGCACACTGTTTAGTCACAGCCAATACTTCTCTGAAGGGTGCAAAGATAAAGGAAGTTTGAAAGTCACACTTGACTAAGCCTCAGCAATGTCTGCCCCTGAGGACTCACCTCCTCATCCTGCTCTACTTCTTTCTGGGGCAGGAGGGGAAGTGCCAAGGGCAAGCTTTCCAACTATTTCATTGCACAGGAAACTATTTGTGTTGATGGCAGCAGTCTGGTTTGGTATGATTTGTTTCCCATTTGAAAGGTATTGAAAAATACCTACAAGAGCAGCAGTAGAAACCTCATTTGTTCACCAGACAAGAAGTGACAGACACATCTCTGTTCCATTTACACGAAGCCAGACTGTATTTCTGCGCAGAGTAGTGACAACAACACAGATCAAAGGTCAACCACAGAAAAAAGCCTTTCCAGAAGGCCAGGATTTCAGGGTGCCTCCAGATGTTGCAGTTTTAGATGGCTCGGTGTGAAGTTTTTTTAATATTGGATTGTTGGGCTTTTTTGGTTGTTTGTTGCTGTTTTGTTGGGTTTTTCAACACTCAGCCAGCTCCATAAGCCAGCAGAGACACAGCACTAGCATTCCCTTTTTGGGGCAATATGTCTCTTTAAAACACAGAGCAAACTACTAAAATCATATCCAATAAAAACATTTCTGGCAGGTGGACACAATCAACCTCCTTACACCACAAACTTGTTAGAAGATCCCAGATGATCTAAATCAATCGCTGAGGTGCAGCTATGTGCAACTACTGTTAGACTAATTCGTAAATATTTAAAATGGGGTTGCATCTGATAGATCCCTAATGAGAATTACTTCTGTATTTCTAATACGGAATTTAACTATGCACTGACATGTCTCAGACAGCCTACTTGGAAAACAAAGTATATTTTTGAACAGTCAAAGAACTTCTGAAAACACCACTGTTGTTTTCATCATGAGGGAATACATTTATTTTGAAAACACATTAGAATAATATAATCTTTTTCTTGAATGAGCCAGAAAGTTTCCAGTACTGATAATACTTACTTAGAGGGATAATAAAGGGAAAGAAATAAATAATAGAGAAAGATGAAGAACACCTATGAGCTTTGGAAAAAATCCATCAAAAACTAACATGGGATAATTCTTCAGCAGATCCCTTCCATGTAGATGATGCCAAATCATTGAACTAGCAGTATCTGCATTGACTTTTTTCTCCCCCATCCAGGTTGATTAATGATGAAGTGCTAATTAGTGACAGTTTAAAATTATAAAGATGTATAAATGTTTAAGTTATTCCCTTCTGAAGGATTTCAAGTTTCCCCTTTTTTCAGTTTTTATTTAGGCTTAAATATTTTATTTTTTTCTATTTATATTTAGGTTTTTATTTTAGGTTTTATTTAGGTTTTTGTAAAACAAAAATGATGAGGAAAACACTAAACTTAATCTACAATAGCTTTGAAAAATTCAAATCTTTTAATCATATAAGCAGTAGCTATATCGAGTCAATAACCTCCCTGACAAAATAGTTACACATAACAGAATTTGAGGGACCATCTGTAATACACGATCCTATAAGGAAGAACAGTTACAAATACTTCTATAGAAATGAATGATGACTCAAGACTATATTTTTTTTTACCTCTTTAAATGGGAATCTCCAAAGTACATATTTATTCACAGCAGCTGCATCTTTAACAAGCTTGCAAGCTCATAAATCAAGAATTAGTCTTCGCTAATCTTGTGCAAATGTGTCAAACCAAACTATTACCATATCCACATCTGGATTTTCACAGCCAGGGGCCAGAGTCTCCTTGGGCCAAGAAGAGATGGGTTGGTCAAACAAAGTCAAACAATGCTGCAAAGAAAATGGCTGAGCTTATAAAACTGTGACAAAGAGGGTTTTTTGATAAACAAAAGTAAACAGATATTAGAGACATTAAAGAATGCTCCCTTTTACTAGTTAAAAGTCATTAATCCGATTTCTGAAGTTTTATTTTATGAAAAAAAACAAAACTCCAACAGCTAAAGGTCATTTACAATGCCCCAAAAAGAGTAAACCTTTTTCTTTAAGGCAAACCAAGAACACAGAATAAATGCTTTGAAACTATCTGTCTTCTAGTCATGCTTCCCACACAGAGATCCACAGCCTGTAACTCAGTGTGGTGGTTTGTGCACAGAGTAGGGAAAAGCATCTACACCATGCCATTACCAACATTACATCTCCAAGCATGTCAGCTGCTTGCCCAGCTATGTTATGTCTTATTATCTTACTACAAACCAGTATCAGATCTTTTTAGAAGGAGCTGAAGGTAAAGCTTCCAGCTATGTAGAATTGTCAACTGCCCAGTCAGTCATTCATCTCAGGTAGCCACTGTATTTTGGTAAGTTTATTTTTTAAACTATCCCCTACTTGTAGCTCAGAATGGTGGCACATAGCACTAGCACAGTTTCCAGACTGCCTGATTACCAAGCATGCTTAGGCACACCTCAGACACAGACACAGCCAGAGCACACGTTCACAGTCTTGGTTCTTAGCTTGCTGTAAGACTAAACCCTGGACAGAGACTGAATCACTGTGAGGTTCTGGGCTGGGCTGGCCCTGGCTAGCAGCCCAACACCCAGGCAGATACTCACTCTCCCCTCAGCAGGCTGAGGGTGGTGTTGCATACAAGGGGGTGAACAGGACTGAAAGAGGTCACGGGACAACAGCAAGGAGATCACAACTACAATAAACTTTCCTCACTGGCTCTTTTCACTCCCAACTTCACCCCTATTTCCTCTCACTGCAGGTTAACTCATCCAGTTCCTTCAGAGAGACAGAGCAGCACAAGGAGGTAGGGTAATGTTTTGAAGTCTCTTGCTGTTCTTTCCTTTCCCCCCCAATAGGGGTTTTCCATGGGCTGCCATTCTTCAGGAACATTTACTCAACAACAGAATACCTTGTCCCCTTCACTGACCCTAGGGTTTCCACTGTTGCCATTCGTTTTAGTTCCTTCCTGTCTTGGGATTGTTTTCTCATTTCTTACAAAAGTGTCCCCTAGGGTCCCCCTGCCTCAGCTGTGGGCTGGAACTGCCTGTGTCCAGCACGGCATCCCTGGCCTCCCTTCACAGAAGTCCCACTGTCAGTGACTGGACACCAGGACACCGCAAAATTTTTCAATCAGGACAAAAATTTTGTCATATCTGTGAAGTGCTTCTCTGCAACTCAGAAAGCTTTGATAACTCACCCAAGTTAAGTTCCCACAGGGCAGAATTCATAAGACCAGAGAACCCAAGTCAAGCTAGAAAATCCCGCAGCTCCCCCTCCCCCACAAACAACTGTAAATTAGCCCAATCTTACCAAGATTGTGATCTTTTCCACAAAATTACCCCTTGGAAACACCCAGTTATCACTTTTTCAAACAGATGGAAAGAGTTCACCCCCAAAAATAGGTCTTTATAGAAAAGCACAGTGTCCTAGTTCTGGCCAGGACAGTTAATTATTTTTTACAGCAGCCAGGTGCAGTGGCACATGTCTGTAGTCACAAGCTGCTGGGTAGGCTGAGCCCACCTGAGTACTTGATCCAGGAGCTCTGGGCTGTCCTGCACTGTGCCCAGGGGTCACAGCAGAGACACCAATGTTACTCAGTACCTCCTTAGGTCACTTCCAGGGGCTGGGGAAAAGGGACTCCTGCTTCCAAGACAGGTGCTGCTTTCCAGTCACAGGGAATGCCTGTCAGGCGGAAGAGCTGTTTGCTATTGTTTTTCAGTGTCCTGGGCTGGGGTGAACATTTTGCATGCCAATCACCCTCTCTTTGTACCTTATTGTTATTAGCATTGTTGCTGCTACTGTTTGTTTTCTTATCTCATTGCTTTTTCTAGTAAACTGTTCTTATCGTCACCAATGATCTCTGCCTTTTGTCTCCTAGTGGAGAAGGAGAGGGCAGCAGCTGATGGTTTTCTTTTTAGTGGGACTACAAAATTTGAGAGTACCATTCCTAAACCATCCTACACAGGAAATGAGGAATTGATGCTGAATCAAATACAAAGTCTGGGTAGTTCAGTGTCCTATCCTCTACAAAAGACATTTTTAGTAGTAGGCATTTTCTGTGCAGTGTTACAGTACAGATGACCAGGAAAAAAATAAGGCTTGAATGAGGTCTGTTATTTCCCTTAAAAATTTTGTATTAAAGTATGATTTTATTTAGTATGTAAGCTAGAATATGACCCTGCTATAGCTATTCCTCATTTTTATTGCATACAAGTGAGACTATTACCCCAAAACTCTGACAATTCCCAAGAAACATAAAAACCTAGTTATCTGTACACAATAACCTTCCCCTTCATTGACTAGCAAGACAAGCATCTATAAAGACAGGACACAAACCCCGGGCAAGAGTAATCTTCATCAAAATCCTTCATAAACTGAAGTGTTCTAAAGGTGGTATCAGTGACTATCTGTACACATCTTGAGTGTCCTCCTGAACTGTGCTACTGAAAAGTAAATACTTTTCCTGTTGATCAATGTGAACACATCAATACGTCCTTCAATAGCATGAACAAATCCAGCGAACCTAAATACCCACCCATTC